TAATGTGCTCTAGAGCTACAGCGTAATGGAAAATAGAGCTGTAACCTCCATTGCTAGACAAGCCGATGAGCCCGTAGCCGATTGTCCTCCCTAGGCCACAACACACACTGCATTTAACGTGCCTGTTCCCCTTGAGCTGGTCCAGAATTTAGGACACGTAAAGGATTAATCAAGCTTATACCCAGGACATGTCAGACAGAGCATTTCCACACGCTTGCGTAGGGAGAGCAGCTCCATCAGAATCACCTTGTCTAGAGAAGGGCCTGTGCCCTTTCAAGAAACCAAAGGAAACAGACAGATGCTTCTCTATTTGGATGATCAGAACACAAATTTTCAAAATCATAGGATTGGCTTAAAAAGTACAACACTTAAGAAAATAATAAGACAGGATTGGTTTTCTACCTCGTGATTTTCCAAACCTTTGCTTCTTCGTCTTTGACCCACCTTCAGTTTTGCTTTCCATACACTTATCCAGCACATTTCATGTGAAATGAATCCTAACCTTCAGTTTTGCTTTCCATACATTCATCCAGCACATTTCATGTGAAATGAATCCTACACCCTTTCTTCTAAATATCTATACTGTCGGCAACCAGGGGAACCCAAAATATAGGATGTTTGAAAGAAATTCAAGTACCAACTGATTAGACTCTGTTTACTACATTCATCAGAGGCAATCACAGTTTGCAGCTGTAAACCCAATCCTGTTGGTATCCAGCAGTAGTTTCACAGGTATATGCTCTGCAGTAAAAATATATCTACTTGCACACATCCATAGGTCCAGGGTTTCAGTATATGAGACCAAATTCTGCCTTGAATTATACTCCACTGACTTCAACACAGCTTCCTAGGAATATACACAGAGAAGGCACAACTACATCCATCACTGCTGCATTGCCTACTTCCTTCTCCTTACTTACATTGATTTTCCTCCCATTTGGCCCCATTCTTAAAGGCTTTGGCAGGTTAAGAATTAGGGAAATTATCAGGAAACAACTTGGACTTACTCATCTTTGTTCACTGTATAAATTACACAATGCAGCCATGTGAGGTAACAGTATTTAAATAAGATATAAGCAAAAATCCTTCTAATTAACAAGTAAGTTCTAAACATACAGGCACCTTTATCTCTCGTGTGCTTCCAAAATAATTTAAAACTTTGATGGAGCAGACAATCTTCCATTCCCTTCTGAGCAACTAATATTCATTTAAACACCACATTGGTTTTCTTTTCTTTCCAATTCCTGTCTGCTGTTTGCAAATTGATCCTTATGACTTTACAAATTCAGGGCAGTTATAACTTGAAATTCATTGGAATTCCGCCAGATCTATTATTTGCAGGATTTTCTAGCTGCATAAAAGACAACTAACTGAATATAGCAGGCACACAAACCAACATACAAAGTCATCTGTAATTAAGAGGCGTAAAATGAGCTCCACTATTTTGTTAGGGAAAAATAATAGGTACAACTTCAATTTCAAATAATTCACCCAACAAAGAGAAGAAGTGCATAAATACACACAAAAGCCAGCACATTAGGTCTCAGTATAGATCTAATTAAATTTAGTGGGAACAATGAATTACAACAGATTAGTTTATGTCTCATAGCAACTATTGCATTTTTCTTCATACTTAGCATATTTAGTATTTTTGCAGATCTTTTGCTTACTCACATGCAAATTTCTTGAATCTGACACTGGCTGTTTCCTATCTCGTTAATGATCTTTGGCTTTTGTTCTGCATCTACCAGAAAGCTACATTCCTCTGCCACCTAGTGCTTTAACGAAGTATATTTTATACCCACTACCAGCCTCTTGCTGGTCTGGTGTGTTCAACAGAATAGATGAGGACCGGGCATAAACCTTTTAATAAAATTTCCTTACTAAATGGCAGATTAAAGAGCAACTTGGTTTATCAACCTCTATGGATATCATAATTGACCACTGCCAGAGACCACCTCTATCTCTGCAGATCTTAGTATGACACTATATCATTTAGCAACTTGCATCCTTGTATGTTAGGACATTACATCACCTTCCTAGTTCTTTCTAAAATGTAAAATAATTTTTACATAAAATCCTTATAGAAGAAAAACATCATCAAATATAACATGTATTTAATCACATGAAAGTTTTCAGACAAAAAATAACGTCTTTTTCAACTACTAACAGGTTCCCAGTGTAATAAAGTGAAATTTTCTAAAAGCATGTAATTTTTGTTTTGAAATGGATGCTGGAGCACAGCATTTGTAACACCCACCTTGCAGTTTGTTTGGTTTAATTAACATTGCTTTGAAAAGTGTACGTTTATATATTAGCACTGTTGCAACTTAGATTTCTTTGAAAATGACACATAATAAGGATTTATTTCAAGTAACAAGACTACACTACATGTTTTAGAGGAATTCTGGAAATTTATTTTAATTTTAATTTTTTAAAAAGCTTTGTATTGTCAGTGTTAATAAATGAAGCTATGTTTTTTTAAAAGCTTTGTATTGTCAGTGTTAATAAATGAAGCTATGAAAGTGAGCTTTCCTTTACTCTACTTTTGAAAGAGAAGTCATTCCAACTAAACTGTTCTGACTCTCACTGAAGATAATTTCTTTGAAAGAGAAGTCATTCCAACTGAACTGTTCTGACTCTCACTGAAGATAATTTCTTTTTTTGAAAATTAACTGGCACTGTATTAATTGCATCTACGACTCTTCAGTATTTGTCAGTCGTTTCCAATTTTTCTTTTAGAGACCCTGAATACCAGTTATTTCAATGACTTTCTTCTTACATTACTCAGAAACCACTGTGAAATATTATCATGAATACCAGATATTTCAGTGACTTTCTTCTTTGCATTACTCAGAAACCACTGTGAAATATTATCAAGCATCTCCTCTTGTCTGGATTGCACAAATGCAGTACTAACGTAAGCCGTGGCTGTGAAATGAATCATTATCTAACCATGACCTGGCAAGTATCTTAAAATATCCAGTGTTGATATTTTCAACAGCCTAACTTCACTCATGTTTCATAATTCTGTAAAGTATTGTCATTGCTTCACTGATACTACTCTGTTTGTAAAGTATTGTCATTGCTTCACTGATACTATAATTCAATAATCTAATGTAATTATATTACATTATGCCAATTATAATTATTACTCCATTAGCAGAAACCATGTTCTGATGTTTAGAGAAAAACAGTCTTTGTTTTTTTAAATAATACCTCTGCATTTCTGAGAAATTAACCCATGACTCTCAACATCCCATGCTAATTTAGCTTATTTCTCTCCAGAACTCTTGTCAAAAATAGAAATACATAAAAAGCAACTAAGGCAGTAAGGTGTAATTGGTCTTAACGGTATGTGGACAAAGAAATAAAAAAAACCCCACCTCTCCCTAAAATATATATGCATCTTCCCTTGGGACAAAATATCTGTCTTACTGCTTGGCTAATCTCACCTCCAATGTGTCTGCCTCATCCCCTGCAGCTCTGGCAAAAGTAAGCCTTCCACTCTGCATCCTGCTTGCCTTTGATTGCCTTCAGTTCTGAGTTAAAGTGAAAAACACACGTGACTGGAATAAATCCTGTTTGGACAAATCAGAAAGAACTTATGTTGTTTGCTTGGATACTGTCAAGTAAATGGCATCAATTTACACTTATCATCTTTCATTATTCCCTTAGACTAGGGAGGAAATGCAACATATCTCTGCTCACATCTGTTCCTACCAGTTATGTTTCAGAACGTGGAATCTAGAGTGAGGAGAGGAGAAGTGAAGCATTACAGCACACAGGAGCCCCCTCCTTAAGAAGGGGTAATTAGCACAGCCACGTACAAACGAAGGCTATTCTGGGAAGCCTGCTCCTGTGTCATTCACTTTCATCTTCCTACTGCCCACGTTGCTGCTTTTCTGACCCTGACACAAGCCAAGCTACAGGGAGGTACCCACTAAAAATCAGAAAGCCAGGGAACAGTTAGAAAGCCAGGGAACAGTTTGCTGCCAGCACAGCTCCCCAAAACAGGACAAAACAGGACCAGACACATTCAAGTGCCAAGGAAACACAGAGCCAGGGTTAGGGGGAGCCTTGCATTTTTTGGCAGCAAATAGCTATTCGACTGGCTGAGCCCTAACACCAAACAGTACCGTTAGTGTCCTGAAATCCCAACCTAAAATTGAAAACAGTCTTCATCTTAAACGCAACAGTGCTACGGTGTGGTTAAAACCAAAGTGAAAATCCTCAGGTAGGTGCTGTAACTGCAGCACTGAGGAGAACCAACGGAGAGCAGAAGGCAGAGCTCTCCCCTCTCCACAAAAGGCTCCAGACAGGAGGGCACCGCTCTTCTTTGGGGTTTTCCAAGCACACGCTGACCACCCAGACTACTTAATGGCAACGGCCATTAAGAATCAGCTTGGACCCTTGCCAAAAGGACAAGATTTCCACTCATTACATTTCAATTTGTTATTTCACTCAAGAAATCAAATGCACTTTGAGGGGAAATAAAAAGGCTTTCCATACCATAGAATGGTTAGAGTTGGAAGGGACCCCAAAGATCATGGAGTTCCAACCCCCTGCCCTGGGCAGGGACACCTCCCACCAGCCCAGGTTGCTCCAAGCCCCATCCAGCCTGGCCTTGAACCCCTCCAGGGATGGGGCAGCCACAGCTTCTCTGGGCAACCTGTTCCAGTGTCTCACCACCCTCACAGTATTCCTTTAAGACAGAAAATTATTTTGTATGCTGACAACAGCAAGAAGCACTTCAATCCAGTATACAAAATGCAAATACCACATGACAACCACCATTTTGCTCAAAACCAGGAATATCTCCATGTTTCTGTAGAGAATCAGGCAGATTCTTTTAAGAGCCATGGAAATAACTCAGTTACTGTATCTTTCCTTATGAATAGCCTTTGTATCTAATCAACATTGGGTTTCAACATATTTTTTTTCCCCCCACTTTTCTTTTCCCCCCTCCAAAAGAGCAGCAGCCAAAACCAGAAAGCAGATTTCCCTGGGAAACTTGACATATTTTATTTTACGTCTCTGAATGTTTTCCCTTTCTTAAAAAAAAAAAAAAAAGTTATTTACAAAACCAGCATAGAACAGTAGGAAACAAATTATTCAGTGTGTTGTACGCAGATGTCCAAACCCAAGGTAGATCCTCGTTTCTCTTTTAATTGCTGATTGCTATGATGTATCACTGAGAAGCATTTCCCACTGCATGCTATAGAAACACCACCCGACTGCAACACCGTATGGCACGACACAGGATGTCAGCAGGATTCCCAAAAGTTCCCAGGTTTTCCGTATCAACATTGAGTGAACAAAACGAGGCAAACATTCTGGAAAAACACCATCTTTCCTACTGTAATAACTGTTTTTGTAAGCATTAGTTCTGAACAAACCAAGATGGACGCTTCCTGGGCCTTTCAATGATCCGCTTGCCTTCATCTTTTTCTGTGGGTTTTTCTCCATCATAAAGGACAACAGTCTCTACAGTCGGAGCATTAAATGGTCCTCCTTCCTTTTTACCCATTTCCATCCGTATCAGTCGAGTTTCTGCTTTTACCTTTGCATAACAATAGCCACAAAGGACGTGCTTCTGTTTCAAATTTCCACACTCAGGACAAACATCGATGTTCCTCTAAAAAAAAGGCAGCAGAAAGCAGGACATTTTGGAATTTGAACAGCAGCAACAAAATAAAAAAGGAAAAATCAGAAAGTACTACAAATGCTACATGAAATAGCAGAGAAATTCCATTGTCTGTTCAAAATTTATTCTTAAAATATTATGTGAATATGTATGTAATATTTATGTAACATTATGTAATTTTTCTGTAATGTCAAATGCTTACTAATCCAAATAGCCTATGAAATCAATACCTGAATCATTATGCCTACTGATGTTCAGAATACTAAATACCAAAAACTATAGACCTTTTCCATTTATACTACCTGTTTAGCTAAAATTCATATTTTGTTGGCTTGCACCTCAACTGTCACTGTTTATTTAACCACAGACTGCAGTCACACATGATAAAGGTACCTGTTACAAGGCATTTTGAAGATTAACATGTCTTTTAAGCTTACTTACAACCAAATTCCAGAAAGTTTTTCAGTCAATATTGACCACTATGATTCTCTAAAACAAGCGAGGTGAAAAATGACTGATGTAAATCAGTCTCCAGCCTGCTTGTTTGCCATTAACAAAACAACTTACAGTGAATAAGCCGCCGAGCCCCTGGGAATTTGGTGCTTACCTTTAGTTTTATAAGCTTATTGGGATTTCTTCGCCTGCAGCGGTTGACTTCAATGGTGCGCCTTTTCTTCGGCGCTGCCATCCACAGGATGCTATCTAAGAGGCTGGGCACCTCCTTACTGTCTGTAGTGTCCCTCACTGGCTCTGGAAGGAATGCTGGAGCTTGGACAGCTAGTGCTGGTCCTGAAGGGAACAAAGAAAAAGGTAATTGATTACAACCCAGCCCCATTTTTGTATGCGGCCGAGGAAATACGACACAGATGCTACTGACACCCCCAAATCAAGGAGATAAGAGCTGTAGTAAAATTGATATTAAATAGAAAAATGAAACGTAACATGTAATCTAAGCAATCAAGGGAACCTGCCACCGTTGCTAAAAGTTATCTATATGGCCCTAACCTTATTTGATCACTTATAGAGAAATAGTAATTAGATGTGATCTTAAAGGTCCCTTCTGACATAGACAATTACATTCAGAAATTAACTACTAGACAGTGTAGCTTTGCTGACAAGCAGGGTATTCCTCTCAAAAGAGTGGTGAACTGTAGGGCTGATCAGCAAACCGAGAAAACCACCTGGAGCTTCCAAGATTAGAGGAGAAGTATAAGTAAAAGGTCATTTGGGCAGGGGGAGACCATGACCACCGCCTCATTGACCATCTCCTCAAGTGACACCACCTCCTCAGAACAGAACTAGGGAAGAAAACCGAGTCTGCACACTGATTTGCATCAGAAGTGAAGAGATCTCTACTAACCATTAACGATAATAACAATGAATGCGTATTAATTGTTAAAATCCGTAGTAATCAGTGTATAAAAACGAAAGAATTATTGAAACAAAGGGGTGCTCCCGCAGCCCGTTTCTGCGCCTTAAGGGAATGAACTCGGAAATACCCCGCTCTGTGCGTTACTGGCTTCCACACCGGGTGAAGGACACAGATGTGGGACAACAGTAGGAGCGGCCAGCGGCGCCCCTTATTTGATCACTTATAGAGAAATAGTAATTAGATGTGATCTTAAAGGTCCCTTCTGACATAGACAATTACATTCAGAAATTAACTACTAGACAGTGTAGCTTTGCTGACAAGCAGGGTATTCCTCTCAAAAGACTGGTGAACTGTAGGGCTGATCAGCAAACCGAGAAAACCACCTGGAGCTTCCAAGATTAGAGGAGAAGTAGGTAAAGGGTCATTTGGGCAGGGGGAGACCGCGACCACCGCCTCATTGACCACCTCCTCAAGTGACAGCACCTCCTCAGAACAGAACTAGGGAAGAAAACCGAGTCTGTGCAGTGATTTGCATCGGAAGTGAAGAGCTCTCTACCAACCATTAACGACAATAACAACGAATGCGTATTAATTGTTAGAATCCGTAGTAATCAGTGCATAAAAAAGAAAAAAATTTTGAAACAAAGGGGTGCTCCCGCAGCCTGTTTCTGCGCCTTAAGGGAATGAACTCGGAAATCCCCCGCTCTGTGCGTTACTGGCTTCCACACCGGGTGAAGGACACAGATTTAGGACAACAGCAGGAGCGGCCAGCGGCGCCCCCGCCTCATCCCGCCCCGTCCCCTCAGCACCGGCCAGGGCTCCGCGCTCTCCCGCTCCGGCCCCCTCCCTCCCACGGTAAAAACGGGTCCTGCCGCCCTCTCCTTCAGGCAGGAGGGGAGCGGGCCAGCACCTACCCCAGGGCGGGCTCTGACCCCCGGAGAAACCCGGCAGGAGGCCGCGCTCCAGCCGCCCCCAGCAGCGCTGGAGGAGCCCACCAAGGCGCGGCAGCGGAGAGATGAGGAACACCAGAGCCGCCATCTTCCCACACCACCCCGCCGAGCCCACAGCCCCGGCGGAAGGGGAGGGGGCACTGGGCATGCGCGCCTGTCGCTGAGCCTTCTGGGAAACCGAGTGCCCCGAGCACCTCAGGGCGTAACATGGAGGGAGGTCGGGACTTCAAGTCCCAGCATTCCTCTGGGTACCAGGGGAAGGGGAGGAATGAGCGGGCTCGAGGACTTCAAGTCCCAGCATGCCTCGAGGGGGGGCCTCTTCGCCAATCGCGTCCCTCGCTGGCCCGGCGCTCCTTCCCGGCACGCTCCGCTTTCCTGCGCCTTCTTGCCAATCAGCGCATTAGTTGTGTCCTCGTGGCGGAAGTGGGCGGGGCGAGCGCGCCGTGGGAGAGGGAGCTGGTTGAGGGGAGCGGAGGGGCTCGTTCCAAAATGGCGGAGCGCGGTTACAGCTTCTCCCTCACTACCTTCAGGTACTCGGCGGGGCGAGAGGTCGGCGGGCCCGGGCTCTCGGCGGGCGAGGGGGAGGGTAGCGCACAGCCTAGGTCTTGCGGCGGCGGCGGCGCAGGACGGAGCGGGGACTATTGCAGAGTCATGCCTCCCCGGCGAGGTCGGCGGGAGCCGGGCCTGCCGGCGCTGAGGGCCGAGGGTGGCTGGGCCCCTGCAGTAGGGGCGGGTGTGGGGAAAGGGATGGGGAGCTGGCCGCGGCGCTGGGGGCCGAGGATGGCTGGGCCCGGGCAGTAGGGGCGGGTGTGGGGAAAGGGACGGGGAGTTGGCCGCTTCGTGGTCCCCTGAGATGGGGCGGAGAGCTGCCGGGAGGCTTGGTGAGGCGAAGGGCTGCAGGCCAGCCGGGGGTTGAGGCGGGGGCTGAGGTGAGTCCCGGGTCCTGCCCCATCTCTGTCGCTGACCTGGGGCCCGAGCGCAGTCGCTGCTTGTGTCTTCTCCTGGTGGTGCGAGCCAGAGTCACTGTGGGGCCAACCTGAGCTCTGTCTCGTCACTGGTAGCGCTTTATAGTGAGCCCTGGGAGGAACGGTTTAGCAAACTTTGGATCCACACGCCATAGGCTGGGTAGTCATCCTGAGCTGCTGGGAAAGGCGTGATGATAGCTGAGCTGTGGTGTCTCACTGCCTGCTTCAGAACAAACTCTGCAGATGCGGGACCGAAGGAAGCCTTCAGATGAGTTTTAAGTAGTTTCTTTCCCTTCCTGCTGCGCGTTGTAGGCAGTGCTCTCCTTGCACTCTGTGTTGTGCACGGACTAGATGCGGGAGGATTGCAGGCACAGAAAGACGGGTTGACGTGGTCCTCAAGAATATGCTTTAGTGATTTTTTTATTTCTTATAAACGGTTGGATTAAATGATCTTTAAGGTCCCTCCAACCTGGACGATTCTATGATTCTATGAATGAATATGCTACTGGAGTGGTATTGATCAAAGCATTGCTCTAATACATACACTTACGCTTAATTCAGAAAAAAGGAAATTACTTTCCGTTCTTTGTTTCTTGATGAAACTATTAAGCTATCCAGAATTACATTATATATATAAAAACTGCATGCAAGAGTGTTTGTGCTGCTTTTGGTGAAGTGCCCCTGTAACCTCAGAGCAGAACAATGCTGTGTAATTGCAAAGCAGGTTACTAAAGGCTTGTTGCAGTTAAACGAGTGAAGCAGTCACAATCTGAACCTAGGGAAAGAATCTTACTGGATGGACGCAGCCAAACATGCCTGCTTTACTCCAGTGCCTTCAATTCTGTATTAGGAAATGTAATCAAAGCATTGCTCTAATACATACACTTGCGCTTAATTCAGAAAAAAAGGAAATTGCTTTCCGTTCTTTGTTTCTTGATGAAACTATTAAGCTATCCAGAATTATATTTTACATATAAAAACTGCATGCAAGAGTGCTTGTGCTGCTTTTGGTGAAGTGCCCCCGTAATCTCCGAGCAGAACAATGCTGTGTAATTGCAAAGCAGGTTACTAAAGGCTTGTTGCAGTTAAACGAGTGAAGCAGTCACAATCTGAACCTAGGGAAAGAATCTTACTGGATGGATGCAGCCAAACGTGCCTGCTTTACTCCAGTGCCTTCAATTCTGTATTAGGAAATGTTTTCCTAAGGGAGTTACAAACTTTTTTTCAGAGCACTGCACGCTCTGAAACTTGAAACCATTTGATTTTATACTCGTATAGAAAAGAATATACCTATTTATGCTTTCCCTCATTACCCTATTCCATGTAATGAGAATTATTTGCCTTAGTTTGTGCTTACTTTTAAAATATTTTGCCACTGTTCTGTGTATTTTAATTGCTGGCGTAAGAGACTATTGTTCTAGTTCATTAGTATTTAGTAGTGGAGAAGCTGAAATTACTACTTTGTCACCTTTATACACTGTTTACTCGGTGCATAAATAACTACACTAATTGATTATTGCTTGCTTTGTTTTTTCTAATTCCTCTAAGCACCGGGTTAGATAATTTTCTGGTTTACTTCTGCATCTAATAAAACAGCATTGTATGAAGTGGAGCCCAGAGAAGAGATCCCACTTGCAAAATCACTTTTCCAACAAGTGCCTGGTTCTCTGCTGTCCTTTTCCTTGGGGATTGAGAATGAATCCCTTGATACCTCTCATTCTGGCTGAGTTACTGTGTCAGCCTGACACCTGCTGCTCTGTTCTGATGATCCTGCATCCATTACCAGAAGGATGTGGATTGTTAAAACAAAATGCAGGAATAGCTGGGGTGGAATTGGAGCTGTTTCTGTCTTGTGCCATTGATGGGATGTATCAATCTTCAGACTTGTGTTTTGGGGATCGTTTGTTTGTTGGAATTTTTTTTAAATTTTGATTAGAATATACTCATGCTAGGTGTAAAGAGGCTTAAAAAGCCAAGGTAGCATCAGATTGTGGTAGGAAAGACTTAAGCATATCAGAATTATGTCAGGCTTACTTTTGCATTTTCCTTTTCAGTCCTTCTGGAAAACTTGTTCAGATTGAATATGCTTTGGCTGCAGTGGCTGCAGGAGCTCCATCGGTTGGGATTAAAGGTATGTTCAGAAAATAACTACTTTAGTGAGGGATTCAAGATTCCAAGTATCATTTGAAAGAATAGTTTGGACTGTGTAGTGGGTCTTTATCTTGCCACCTTCTACATCTTTTAGTTTTCTTTCAGTGGATTTTGAAGTGTGTTGGGATTTAACCCAAGCTGGCTATTAGGATGGTACAGCTGTTCACTCACTTCCCCCCGAGTAGGATAGGGAGGAGGAGGAGAAAAAGGAAAAAAAAGACCTTTTGGAGTGAGATAAAGACAGTTTAATAGAACAGTAACAGAAGAGAAAATAATAATGGTGAAAGAATATATAAAATAGGTGACACAATACACTTGGTCACCACTCAGTGATAAATTACCAGTCCCATCCCAGTGATCATGGATTCCTGCCCCCTGGGGAAGCCCCATTTATATACTGAGCATGATGCCTATGGTATGGAATATTCCTTCAGCCAGTTTGTCCTATGTGGGAAGCTGAAAAAGTCCTTGACTTAATACAAGTGTTACTTAGCGACAACTAAAGCAGTATGTGTTGTCAACATTATTCCCATACTAAATCCAAAACACAGCAACTATTAGGAAGAAAATTAAGGGTTTTTAAAACAGGGAAAAGCAAAATTCTTTTCAGTGTGATAAATTTGTTCTGTGTTTTGACTGCTTTCCGCAATTTTATTTTAATATATATAATAAAAAAATTTTGTTCCTTTCCAGCTGCAAATGGAGTGGTGCTGGCAACTGAGAAGAAGCAGAAATCCATTCTTTATGATGAAAGGAGTGTCCACAAAGTAGAACCAATTACCAAACACATAGGTTTAGTGTACAGCGGTATGGGTCCAGATTACAGGTACCAAAATACGTTGTTTGGTTGCCATTTAGATGCATTTTCATAGAAGAAGTGTAAGAAACAGATAGCAATTAGCTGTTTCTTTCTAAGTGTATGGCATAATATTACATTGGATTACACTGTATATGAAATTCACTTGAAGTTTTTCTTTAGATAATCAGTACCTTGTGAAATAATCTTCTTTCTAACGAATGAGTAGGGAATGAACAGCAGCACAATTCAACCTTAATTTCAGTTTAAATATTTCAGAGACTACGCGTTTGATAAAGATAACCCAGCGCAGTCTGTTTTCTTACGTTGGTGTTGGTATAATTCCTTAGCATAGTCTTTGTTATGAGTTTTCACTTCTAGTTGTAACAACTAGTTGGAATATCTTTGACTTACTAATTTTGTCTTTGTTTTTAGAGTACTTGTGCACAGAGCTCGGAAGCTGGCCCAGCAATATTACTTGGTTTATCATGAGCCCATTCCAACGGCTCAGCTAGTGCAGAGAATTGCTTCCGTGATGCAGGAATACACGCAGTCTGGGTATGTGGCTTTCTGAATTTTGAAGTTGCTTAGAAAGATTATCTTGTTTAAATGTAAGGAATAACAACTACCTGGTGATCCATCAAGAACAGTGTGGTGAGTAGGACTCGGGAGGGGATTGTGCTCCTCTACTGGGCACTGGGGAGGCCCCACCTTGAGGGCTGTGTCCAGTTTTAGGCCCCTCACCACAAAAAAGCCATTGAGGGGCTGGAGCGGGTCCAGAGAAGGGCAACGGAGCTGGTGAGGGGTCTGGAGAAGAAGTCTTGTGAGGAGAGGCTGAGGGAGCTGGGGATGTTGAGCCTGGAGAAGAGGAGGCTGAGGGGAGACCTTCTGGCTCTCTCCAACTCCCTGAAAGGAGGGTGTAGCCAGGGGGGGTCGGTCTCTTCTCCCAAGGAACAGGTGATGGGACAAGAGGAAATGGCCCCAAGTTGCACCAGGGGAGGTTCAGGTTGGAGATTGGGACAAATGTTTCCAGGGAAAGGGTTCTTAAGCCTTGGACTGGGCTGCCCAGGGAAGGGGTTGAGGCCCCATCCCTGGAGGGATTTAAAAGCCGGGTTGCCATAGTGCTTAGAGACATGGGTTAGTGATGGGTTTTATCAGAGTGAGGTTGATGATTGGACTGGATGATCTGAAAGGTCCCTTCCAACCTGGATAGTTCTATGATCCTATGGTTGATTTATTTTGCATCAAATAGGCAGTTAGTTTTTCAATGGAGAATGCCCACAGAAGGAGGGCCAGCGGGAGGAGCACTGACTGGCAGTGGATGAGATAGGGTTTTCATGTCTTGCACACAAACCTGTCAGACAAATATCTGTCAGCGTATTTTTGGGTTTGTACTGTTGGTTGACAGCTGATGGCAGCTCTGGGCTGGTGGGAGGTGTTTGGGGGAAGGTTAACATGCCCAAAATAATTTAGTCACCTTTGGTTTTCACTGAATAAATTTCAGATGTCGTGATTTTTCAGTTTGTGGTTGGTTTTGTTTTGCCTGTAGTGGTGTTCGTCCCTTTGGTGTGTCACTGCTAATATGTGGCTGGAATGAAGGGCGGCCCTATCTATTTCAGTCGGATCCATCTGTAAGTATCTTACATTTGCAAATTCTGCTGCTTTTATAAAACATCTGAAACTTCTTATGTGCTCATGAAATGCTTTCTGGGATGGGAAGAAAGCAGAGCTAGAACAAAAGATAATTTAATGTAACTTCAGAAGTCGGAATGAGCTAGTTTTGGTGGGTGCTTGGAGTGAGCCTGGGTCGTTCTGTGCCCACATGTCTCTGTAGTGCTGGAGGGGTGGCAGCTGGTTTTGAGGGAGATCACCATCCCTTTCCATGCCTTCCCACCTCGTTGGTAGTGCCATTCTGCAGCAAGTACCAGAAAAAAAAAAATAAATAATTGACTGCTTATGCTGCTCAAACAGTTGTTCCCTAAACTGGATGGAAGTTAGGCCAAAATCTGTTGCATTGTGACATTTAATTGTATTTTTAATGCATATTCTTTAATGTTTAATGACAGTGGTTAATTTAAGTGAGTTTATTTGCTGTGTTTGCACTTCTGGAAAAACTGTCCTTTGCATGTGTTTACATCAAACCAAAAACATGGTCGCTGTAGTGATCATGGATAGGCTTCAGAAATTTTAATTACTACCTGATGCTCAAATGTAAAAAGTATTTTGCAAAATGGAGATGTTTTGTGTAAGGCAACTTGATGGATGCATAGAACTGCTGTTGGTCTTCGTGCCAGAGAAGAGAATGAAGTGGTGGCTAAATATCCTGTTAGTAGCCAAGATAAATCAGATGGCTGATTTGCAACCAGTTGTTTACATTACTGAATCTTGAAAAAGAAGAATATATGGAGTGAACATCGGGAAAGATCTGGCTGTATCATTCTCAAGGACGAATGAACTATTTCTGTTGAAGGAATCCCAAATCAAAACTACACTAACAACTTACTAAATCCATCTTTCAAAGTAGGTGGGGACCTATACAAATGTTTTCTACAATTTGCATGTTTTTCCATATCAAATTAATCTGGATGTGATCCAGAATAGTCTCCTATATTGTCAGAACATCCCGTGTTTTCGTAATAGCTTCTGTACTTTTTACCAAGTAATCGATTGCGTATCGTTCGACTCAGTTACACAAAAGAACTCAAGAGATGGTTGCTTTTCCAGGGAGCTTACTTTGCCTGGAAAGCAACAGCCATGGGGAAGAATTACGTCAATGGGAAGACATTCCTTGAGAAAAGGTAACGTATTTGATGCTTGTCTGAAAGGACACTGTTTTGTTCAAGCTCCATGTAAACAGCCCGATTAAAAAAAAAAAATAAAAAATAGAGGCTTTCAGATTATCAGAACAAAGCTTTAAAATATTTAGGGTAGAATGCTTCCTGGTTTTACTTATTTACACCTGCACAGGAAATTTGCTTTATCTAAACTCTTGTGTTTGTGGAG